ACATGAATTCTACACACAAACTACACACAGTACACATATACAGACAATATACACATATTTACACATATAGCACAGGAGTGACTGTTAAACTCTTTCCAAAGCGTGCCTTTTTTTGTAGAGCAGCTGTCTGTGTCTACGGCCAGATGGGAGAAGGGTGAAGCATGAGTTGAGAGGGTGGCTGGGATTGTGTACTATGGTAGTTGCTCTGCGAGCAGTGGCAGTCAGTCAGTAAATGGGGGAGGCTGGTAGGTTTTTGGAGTTGGAAGACCTTTATTTTGGAGGAATGTTTAGTGATTTTAAGAAGCTTATTCCTGTTGGTGAGAGAGAGCATAGTGAAGTAGCAGGTAGCACAGTACAAGAGGATAAGTTCAATGATACTACGGTACAGGTGGTTTGACTGAGAGAGTCCATAGTGTGCTCCTGCTTTTTATTGAAACTATGAAACTGGTTAGTTACAGCTGAATCACATTTTGTCTGTCAGGTGGAGAGTTACGTTGCACATATTCGTGGGCTGCTGGAAGAGCGTGAGTGTCTGACTGCAGACTATGAGAGAGACAATGAACACTTGCGACAAGAGCTTCACCAGCTCAGACAACAACAAGGTAAATTCAGTGCAATGTTGGCTTTCTTTCTTTTGGGTTGTTGCCTAGCCCGGCTCTCCAGAGCTCCTGAGCAGAGCATTCCCAACACACTTCAACTTTTTATTTGCCATGAATGGTCTAAAATTGAATTGATCTAAAATGTTTGTCCTAGATCTACTGCCACACAGCAGTACTCATGTACTAATTTGTTGATCTTCTATCTTGTGTTATATGTTATTACACACTCTGCTGACCAGTGGAAAACTCCCCTTTCTTTCAGAGAGTCAGAGCAAGGAGCTGGCGGAGTTGTTGGCTCAGGAGGACCTCGGGGAGATGGGTTTGAGCAGCCCCAGTGAGCAGGTGGCCTACCTGCTGGTGGAGAGGGCCACTCTACTGGAAAGGCTAGAGGCCACTGAGAGAAGACTGGAAAGTCAGAGCCTCACTGACAGCTTGAGGGAAGCCCACCACCAGGTAAAGGACTGACCTACGTACATTAGATGTTATGTTGGTGTAGTTCATTTGAACAATTTGAACTGTAAATGTCAGGCTTCGTGTGAAAGTGCACAGCCTCCACCATCTTGAACAATGAATGTGTAGTCTTTATGTGTTGACTTTTTAAATGAACCCGTCCTAACCTAATAGTTAACTATCCAAGGCAAATGCAGAGACCATATAAACGTGGATAAGTGAGTCTCTGTCTCTCTGTGACACTTGGACAGGAGCATATTCACCAGAGAATGGGGGAGGAGATAAGGCAGCACAGAGAGGACATGCAGAAAACCATAGATAACGTAACGAAGGTGAGGTAATTGTCATTGTTATCTGGTCATAACTTGAGGTTGGAGTTTGTGGAGAAAAGAAGAAGATGTTTTCCAAAGTACAGGGATACCACGTGACGGTTCTGTAGTGTCTGTTGTGATTCTACACACATTGGTCTTTGTCCTCAGCAGTGTTCATCCCAGAGTCCGTTGAAGAAGCTGTTTGGGCTGCGCAGGTCTGGTCAGAACAAACACAATATTACCCCTGTAGGTTTCCACCTCGCGGCTTATACTAACTAAGTAACTAACGCTGATGTTATGACACAGAGCTTGTTTCAGAGTGGTGCTACTTTTTTTAAAATACATTCCACGCTGACTATGTGCCTTGATATCTGCATGACCACTATGATGCAGACGACATTGCTTGTCTCAGTAACACATCTGTGAGTGTCATTTTCTAACAACTGACGAGTGCTCGAAATGGGTGGAACAGTAATGGCATGTCACTGGTAACAGCATGTACTTTTTGACCCACTGGTCTCTCAAAGCAGGTGAATGCTGGCATATAAGATTGTTGCCCTTGATCCTTTCCAGGCCGGCAGTGATGATGAATCTCAACCTCAGAATGCATGTCTCTTACAACAGCATGTTGGGCCACTTGAATCTCCAGTTTTGACTGCCATTCTTCTTCCCTGCTGCACTCCACCCACTCTAACCATTGAGGATTTATTCTTTTACATCAGGCTCACAGTGAGGAGATTTCCCGGGAGCGAATTGAGCGCCAGAGGCTGGAGCGGGACCTGGAAGAGGCATCTAGGAGGCTGGCAATGGCTCATCAGGATATCCGCAGACTCACCAATGAGCTGGATGTTGCCAAACACAACAACCTAGAACCAAGTGGTATGTTGCGAAGATTTACAGTACAGAACTGTGAACCTGTATTAGACTTTGAGAATATTTTGAGAAGATTGTATACACTTACAGTTCTGTATATTGCACATTGTTGCTAAAGTAATCGGTTGTAAGAAACATACACATGATGGCATTACCCATCACATGCATCCTATGTAGCCAGAATTGCCCACATTTACACATACAGCCCCAGTCCCTTGTCTACCCAGCTGGTTGTCTCTGACCTTTTAAAAGTTTTAATATCCACATACAGTAACTTCCCCTGCTGAAATCTCAATATTAAATGTTGTCAAGCTACAGATTTGGTTGATATTATACTTAATGTTATACACATTTTAATGTGAACTGGTGTGTTATTGTAACCAACTACAGGAAGTCATTAACAGCATATGAAAAGGTGTTTTAAAAGACATCTTTATAGAGTAAAAAAATATGCTTATAATCTCAGGATCTGAGCTCCAGGGAACAGTCCAAGAAGTAGAAAACCTGAGGAAGGAAGTGGACAAACTGAAACAATGTGGTGAGAGAGACTTGGGTGTGAACTTAACTGCCGTTCAGTGTGTGACTTTCAGACCAGGCTGCGGCAACACTTTTGATAATGTTGTATGTTTCCGCTCATACTGGTAGTGTTTTGGTTGAATCTTTGACTTTTCTGAGGAGGCTCAGTCAAATCTTAGAGCAGCTGCCACATTTGGCTAGAAAACAATGTTGCATAACCAGACAGATGGACGAAGTCACTAACACTAGTAGTTCTAACAGAAAGTCCCATCAGTTAGTTAAAATACTTCATGCAGTTTCATTTTATTAAGAATACATGTTTCTTAACAAATCCACTGTTCTGGAGAAATTGAATCCCTTCCCCTTAATTGCCATGGTTGTTATTATCATCATAATAAGTACATACAGTATATGTGTAAAATAATGTATAATGCAATTAGGTTTAAAAAGCAAAACAAAACAGACAAACAAAAAAAAACCATTCATGTCTGATATCATTTTTTATAGATGTTCATGGTCATGGTTTTATCTCTTCACAGATATGATGAAGCTGCAGCGAGCCAAAGAGCAAAACGACAGACTGGATGCTGAGAACAGAGCTCTGAGGGAGAGAGTCCGCTCTTTAGAATCTGAGAAGAAAGATCTCTTGGACCAGGTTGGTATTTTACTGCTTTTTTTTTTATTTAAGTAAAAACTGTAAATGTGTTGCAGCAGCTTGGCATTGTTTGGTGTTGTGTTTGTCCAGTTGGCAATAAACGATGCCGACCAAGAGGATCGAAAGGACAAGAGCATTAGCGGTGAAACACACAACAATCTGCCTGGCCACGAAAAAGATTACATTCACAAACGGTAACTATATTAATTCCTAAATATCTGCAGCCTGCTTAATAATTTGAGAAATAAAAGTTCCCACCTGCTCTCTCTGACTTTAATCATCATCATCATTCACTGTCAGGTGTCGTGAGGCGATGGAAGATGGGCTAGTACAGGTGAGGGAGCTGCAGCGGCAACTCCAGAGGCTACGCAAGGACCAGGAGGAGCTGGAGGAGAGGAACGAGGAGCTGGAGGCACTGCTGGGTGAGGCCCAGAACACCAGCAAGGAGGAGAGGCATCGCCACGAGGGAGAACTGGAGGGACTCCACAGGAGGGTAATGAGCAGCACTAAATCCTTGCTCAAAATTTTCATTGTCTTATCTGGATGAAATATTGATCAATTTTTTACTGAGCATTATTGTGTTTTATGAACAATCAAGAAACAAACAAAAAGCTAGTCTCTCAGATGTTCATTAATCCCAGTCCTTATCTTTTGGAAGCAGCTTTCTCTCTAATAATAGCAATAATCTTAACTGGTGAATGCAGATCAAATGCCTGGAAGCAGAGCTGAAGAAGCAGGATGCCCAAGAAAAAATGTTGAAGAACGGAGAAGAGGTCAAACCCACTGAATCCTTCTTACAAATGGTAAGATATGACTCACTCTTGACTAATTTCCACAGTATTTATTTTACATCGGTGTGTTACCACAGCAAGGACAGCTTGTGATGACCTCAGCTACAAACATTTAAAAATAATAACTGTTATTTATTCAAAGCTACTTCCGAAGCACACAAAGTGTGATCCTAATGTTTAAAATGTAAAACTAAATTACTTTTCATTTATGTATGCGTTTATTTATATGTTGTTTTATTTATTATCTGTTTGTTTCATTATACTATTATTTCTTGCTTTTGCTTTCTACAAATATATGTACCAGAAATAGGAAATGTGGGGGAGAGAGTGGGTTCAGGGTAAAAGAAGATGTACAATGTACATTATGTTATGTATGAATATAGAAAAACTCAATTTAAAAAAGAAAAAAGAAAAAAAAAAAAGAAAGTAAAACAAAGTTGAAATAGTTTTTTATAAAAATAAGCAGCAACAGCACAATAAAGAGACGGGTAAGACCCATCCACCTGTGCTGCATAAACGTTGTTACAGGATCCCAAGTGTTACTGTACAGTGAAATTCTTACTATACGGTCCTCTCAGATTGCCATACATAGAGTTAAATGTGAAAAAGATGGGAAAAAAAACCCCATCAGCCTACAGAAATTCAATGATGGTACATCAAAAGAGTGTATCTGCGTCAAATTTCATGACTCAGTGCCACCTGTTAATGCCTTGTGTTCCCCTCTCACCATGTATAAAGCACCTAAGGGACAGCAGTCAGGAGAGATTGGCTCTGCTAGAGGCTCGTCTGACGGAGGAGAAGGACTGGAGGAAACAGCTGGAGGTAGACCTCAGTGCTGCCCAGGCTGCCCTCAAAAAAGACAAGGAGGTAAAAACTGCACCTATCCAGTGCTTCGTCTGACCACCACAGCTATTATCTAGGGGGCAGACCTTTTGGATCCGCCTCCTCCACTAAAATGGAGTTGACAATACTGTCTGATATCAGGCTACACATATGTGAAATTTGATTTACAGTTCAAGAGGTGTCATTCTGAAGCACAGAGTTGCTGTTGTATTAAAAAAAAAAAAAAAAAAAAGTTAGACTTAGGAGCCACACAGAAACTGTATATGATTCCCTCATTCTCTACACCAAAGGCTTTGCAGATAGGTGAGCGAGAGCTGAAGAAGCTGAGACTTGAGGTCAACAGCCTTCAGACCGAATGTCAACAAGGGAAAACGCTCATCAAAAGCCTTACCCAAGTCAAGGGGGAAAAAGCAGTTCTGGAGGAAAAGGTTCGTTAATTCTACAAGTCTGCTTGCTATCGTTGATGGCAAATGGTTATTAAATACAGGAAATATTTAAATAGAAATAAAGATTAAGTGAAATTATATAAATAAATAAAAAAACACTATACATTAGTGGTTGAATGCATGGTGTGCAAAATAGATCAGTAAAGCATAATGTTAATAAGCAAACATGTCCATTGCTGACAAACTAGTGTTTACAAAAACAATATAACGAGTCTCTCTCCATCTTCCTGTCTTTGCCTCTTTGTCTGACAGGTGGCCCAAATGGAGCGTGCCCACAGCCGGCTCCAAAGCGAGCTGGAACGTTACAAGGACAGTAACCGGACCCAGGAGGACCTCAGGGAAAACAGGCTTCAGGTGGACCAGCTGCAGGAGCAGGCTGACCGACTAAGTGCTGAACTTAGCAGCCTCCAGACAGCACACAGCGCCTTAAGGTTGTTCTCTTCCCAGAGTTCACAGTGTGAAATGTATTGGCTCATTCAGTAGTATTTTTGAGATGTGGGTTAAAGTAGATCAATGTTGGTTTGTTCAGTGACATCACTGCAGCTGTTACTTCTTGTATTATTGTCAGTCACAAGACAGGGCTGGAACACTGGAGCTTACTTGTTTTGCATAAATGTGCATATTTTCCAGGGATGAGATGGTTTCTGAGCGCCTCCAGACTACAGACCTCCGGGCCAAGCTGAACTCCAGTGTCCAGGAGAAGCTGACGGCGGAGGGGGAAAGAGAGAGACTGGATCTCGAGATACAGCGCCTCAAAGAGCAGCTCAAGTGGCATCAAGAGCAGCTCTCCTCTACAAAAGAAGCACTTCATAGCAGCCAGAAGCTGGAGCTGCACACAGCTCATGTCGAATCTAGGCTTAGTCCAGTGGAGAGGACCAAGGATGAGGGTGTGGATCAGGTAACTGGATTCTTTGAGAGGGTCATTTGATTTGTAAAAAGGTTCAGTTTGAGTTTTTTATTTATTTATTATGTTCAGAAATTGGGTAACAGGGTGGAGTATAATGTCCTCCAACATTAGATCCCCGGTTCAAAGTGCTGTTGTCCAGCTTTTGACTGGATCCCCACCAGCTCAAAAACTGAAGCTTTTAACCTTTTTTTAACCTTTGACCTGTTTATAGGGAGGGGAGCATAAAAGGAATTTCCTCTTGCCAGTATCAAATATGATTCATACATATCTGTGTGTGTGGGTGTGTTATGTTCGGTTCTGTTCTTCTGTAGTTTTCATGTCTGAAGCAGGACCTGAATCATTTGCAGACTAAGCTGGTGGAGGAGCGGCAGCTGGCCTCTCAGCACCAACTGGCCCTGCAGGCTCAGGTCAATGAAGCCCAGGCACGCATCAAGGTAGGTACGATCATAACCTTAACATGCCCAGACAGCCATGTTGCCTCTGCAGTTAAATTTAAGATCTCCTATGATCACTGTCTCCTTTTTGAGTTTTTGAGTTTCAGTTTAGTGGCTTTTCATCGCTTTGCTTTTCATATCACAGCACCTTCACTGTGCTTTTATACTTAATACAATAATACAAGGACAACTTTTTCAAAAATGCCTTAGCCTGTAGTATTTCTGGAAATTGTCCTCTCTTTTGTATTCATGATAAATGCTGATGACTAACGCAAAAGCTTTAAGTCTCCCAGTTCCAGCGGTGTATCATCCTTTTTATGGAAGCTGACTCTCAAATTATATTCCACACTTGCCTACCTGTAATTATCTGCCCTGCCCTTCAGCACAAACATATCCAAATCTTGTCTCTCATCTGTCTTTTCAGTCCCTGGACTTAGTGCTGAGCCAGAGGGCAGAGGAGGCTAAACAGATGAAGCAGGACCTGCAAAGGGCCCAGAGCCTGTTCTCCTCTGCAGAGAGAGAGCTGCGCTACGAGAAGGAGAAGAACATGGACCTGAAGAGACACAACACCTTGCTGGACCAAGAAAAACTCAAGGTCAGTGCCAAAGTGCACATTTAGCACTTCACCATCACCCTAATCACTCTCTTAGTCGCCCAGCCACCTGTGAATTTACCATAATGCCAATGTGAAACTGTAAGAAAGGCGCTATTAAAAACTATAATTGTCAGAGGGGTTGTCACACCGGTGTTAAGCATCTGTTTTTGTGTTCACGCTCTGTTGTCTCATGCACTTCCTTCAGCTTTGTGCAGAGCTGAAGCAGGTCCAGACCAAGCTGGTCCAGGTGGAACAGAGCGGCCACACTCAGGCGGCCGAGTGTGAACGTCAGCAGCAGAAAATCAGGGAACTGGAGTTGGAACTGGCACGCAACTCCACAAACCGCAGTGCTACCTCCAGTCTGCAGGAGGACCTGCAGGCTGAGAGGGCGCGGCTCATTACTGCTGACAAGAAGGTCAGTGCTGGCGCGGTTTCTACACAGGAAACAACGCTCTCATCCAATGTGATGTAAATCTGCTGCTTCTGTTGATGTTGCACGTAATTGGGTTACAAATTCCACTGTTACCGTATGAGGACTCTGATAGTTTGGTTGGTAGGCCCAGAGTTAACTGGGCGATTTGGTAACACTGGCATACTGGCATATCTACTCTGTGTAGCTGTGTCTCACTGAGCCTGTGGCTCTGTTGTGATGGTAGGTGTTGGAGCTGCAGCAGCAGCTGAAGAGTGCCCAGCACCAGCTGCGCGTGGAGGAAGCCCGAGCCGGTGATAGCAGCCGCCTGGAGAGGGACAGCAGGGATTTGTCTGACACCTTGTCAGCCTTGAGAGCCAGGCAGCAGGAGGAGCACATCACCAGGTGCTACTGACACTGCACAGTTTGACTTAGTCCCAGTAGTAGTGCCATAGTTTTGGGGCATAATTCTGATCCACTCTTTTTGTTTACCATCATTCTATCCATCTTTTCCTCCATTTCCTATCTCAGAAAGCTGTTAGAGCAGCGTGAGGAGGAGCTGCAGCAGCAGGTGCGCTCCCTGAGGCTGAAGGAGGCCTCCCTGAACAGGACTAATGCAGAGCTCAGCCACCGCACCCAGCAGCTGGACACCCGTCTGACCATCCTGGAGGCTGAGCTTAGCAAGGCCAGAGAGGAAGTAAGGAACAGCAGTTACAACAGTTCATCAGATGCAACTGTAGGGTTTTAGACACCCGAGGCACCTTTTACACTCCTAATATGTCTATTTCGCATTTCTTTTCAATATTTTGATCAAATGTGATTCACAACTTACATAGGATTCAAATTTAGATGTTGGCTTTTTTAAACCCGTTTTGAAAAGTTTGCATTTTTCAGTTCTCATCAATTAATAGTAATGCAACATAGTTACACCTTGTATTTGTGCTGTGATGGCAGCTCATACCCAAAACAGTGTTTATACAGTCTGTCTGTTTATCTCCATGTCCTATCATGAGCTCTTTAAAGATTTCAGTCAGTAGCTGCAAATCCAGTAAATTCCCAGAGCAGGGTGTTAAAATCTAATCTCTTCTTTTTTACTGTATTCATATCATCATATTATCATAGTTTTTCTGTAATCATTTAGTACTGCTTGACTTTTGACGGGCATGTTTACAAAGTCAGTGTACACAGTCTTCTCATTAACCTGCTTGTCATGTTTATTGTTTATACACACCGATCAGCGATAACATTATGAGCTCTGACAGGTGAAGTGAGTAACACTGATTATCTGGTTATCATGGCACCTCTCAGTGGGTGGCTGATGGGTGTATTTATATTTAACAATATCTCAAAATGTGTTAAAACCAGTTTGAATGTAGGTATAGACATACGTGTTACCAACATGTGTCCTACAGGCGAGAGACAGTCAGAAGTCAAGCCACAGACTGCAGGAGGACTTAGTGGCCAGTCAGCAGGAGTGTGACAGACTGCAGGGGGAGCTGCAGCAAGTTCTCCTCCAGCTGGACACACACGTCCGGTGGGACACACACACACACACACATGCACGAATATAGATATATACATTCAACACAGTATTATGAAAACAGTTACCATGCATTTTCTGGTTATAGCATAATCAGCAATTAAGACATGCGGAAGTTGTTCCTTTTCCTCTGGTTTATTTCTTCTGTTACTTTTAAACAGGAAGTACAACGAAAAGCAGAGTCAGCACAAAACCAAGCTGCGTCAGGCCAAGCAGGTCTTTCTCAAGGCGACTGCACAGAGGGACCGCATCATCCAGAAACTGGAGAACGACCTGGGGCTGGCCTCCAGCCTCTCACTAAAGGTGTTACACAGTCATTTCTAGATATCCCACAAGAGATGTTTGTGCCAGAAAAATATTTATGTTTTTGTATATTTCTTCGTCTCGCCTCCCCCCTGGTGGCTTACAGGAGAAGGAGAGGATCCAAACAGTGACAGAGGAAAATGAGAAGCTTTTGGAGGAGAAGAGGGAGTTGTTGCGGAAGATAAGCGAGGCAGAGGAAATGGGCAGCAAAGGCATGAGGACTGCCTCCACTGTCCAACACAGGTATCATAATGAGTCACACTATGAATAGTTTTTACACACATACCTGCTCAATTGGATTGCTTTTTTTTTGGGAAAATTTTAGTGTTGGGTGTAGATATACTGATTAATCAGGCTAATTATCTGGCATTTTGAGAACACAAGGCTGATAAACAAAAAATGTCTGCAGGCACATCTACAAATTTCCCCGCGGGGATCAATGAAGTATTTCTGATTCTGATCTACAGGCAGCCTTTCAGTGGGGCTGCTGTGGAACAATGTTGACGATGAGTCAGTTTCCAGAACCTCATGTATCCTGCTGTAAATGTGTGTGTGTGTGTGTGTGTGTGTGTTTGTTATAATAATGCAAATGAGTGATGTCACTTCTGACATACTGACATCTCTCAGGACGCTCTCCTTTAAATACCAGTCACCTTCTGAAATCTACAGCATAAACCAATGTAAATTCTGTTTCATTAATTAATACAAATCTAAACATGTTACTGGCTAAGATAACAATGTATATTTGATTTGATTCATGGAATAATGGAACTATACATGACTTACGTTGTTTTGATATCGGTATTATGTATCGGCCATCGGTCGCCCTGCTCTCTAAATATATCGGATTGAATTGAAAACCCATATTGGTCGTCCACTAATGTTAGGATTTGATATCAAATCTATATACGTATGTTAAGTTGACTGAAGTATCACATTGCAGCTGTTATTGAGCAGGGTGGAGAATTTGGAGCCATCCATGAGTGCTCTTCATTTGAGTAAATTTGAAGGCTTGTATCACAGACATGGTTGTTCCTCAAACAAATTGATGAGGTGATCCTCTCTTTCCTGCCTCCAAAACTCTGCTATTTTGACCAGCTGACAGTTTATAGCTGACTTGACAGCTGACTTTGCTACAAGCTGTTGAAACGGGTATTTTAGCTTACATTCTTACACCAGCCACTGGAGATTTGACAAGTTGTGAGTCACACGTGATGCCATCAGCTGGCTTGAGTTGAGCTGAGACGAACCAGTTCACACTGCTGCAACGTTTCCCTGCAACATTGTAAAGCGTTTGTTGTAAATCTTTGGTCTGAACTAGGCTTTAGTGAAGACATAAAGCACATATTTGTTAAATTATTTTTGCGAATAAGGGGGAACTTAATCTTTGTTCTAGAGTCAACGTCTTAGAAGTGGAAAACAGACAACTTCAAGATCGGACCCTGAAGCTCTCCAATCAAGTCAGTTCCTTAGAGCGAGCCCTGAGGAACGGCCAGTCGTTCTACAGCCTGGAGGTAACACCATACAGATCTTTTATGCCACAATGGGACATGCTGCCCAAAATTCACAATTCTCTATTGTTTTAGAACAGCTGATACAGCATTAGTGATGTGAGATGAAGAATTTCTAATGTAAGTGTTTGGCTGAAAATGGTGCAAGTTGGATTCTGTCACGGCAGAGGTTGTATGTTTTTAAAGGTAAGAGAAGTGGCTTGACCTAATGTAAAATGGGTGACACTTCCCTTCTTTTAATGTAATAAAAACGATTAATGTGTTTTGATCCTAAATGGTTTAAACGCTCAACAGAATGCCAAGAAAGTGCTTCCCCCTGAAAGTGTCTGTGATGGCATCCTGCATACTTCTACGCTAAGGTAGGCAGTTTTTGAGAGAATTGTTTAGTTGAAATTACTTGGTGGTTAATGATAGATATTTATAATTTGTATTTTAGCTTAGAATTCTCAACTTCATTTCCTTGTTTTGACAGTCTACGTATAGGTGAATGCTTGTATGTGCACTTTCTATCTTTTCTCACTACGTCTGTGTCACCAGACTGGCTTCAGGTTCGTGTGACGCGCTGGACATCCTGGACGCAATCTGCCGTGTGAAGGTTGGCGACCGTGCGGCGGTGGACGGCACTCGAGCGTCCGTCTCCACGCACCAACCATCAGAGCAGGGCTACCTGAATCTCAACTCCCCATTGGTTCCTCCAGATATTCAAGGCACAGAGGAAAGCTCTAACAACAGCGAGCAGGTATGAGAGGTGGGAGGTTGTTGGCCTGTGTTAACCAGTGAGAATGAGTGACAACGTATTGGGTTGGTACGACAGCACCCGCTGCTTCCACTGAAGACGAAAATATAAATAGAATAAAGGAGTGAAAAAAATATGTAGAATGCAAATAATCATTTGTTAAAAGGCAGTAATAATGAAAGGGAGCTTCCACTGCAGTTTTCCTCAGGTCAATATCACTTTTGTATTGCAAAGCTTTCTTGTTTGGCTTGCTAGTCCTGTTTTATTTTTTTAATCCAGATTCAGACTGAGGGTGAACATTCGGGGGATTTGTTAAAAAAAAAAAAAAAAGCCCAAAAAGTCAATCAAATATCAAATATGTTTTACGTCATATTTAAAAAGAAACATGTAAGTACATGTAATGTAAGATCATTTAAACACATAGTACCACCTTGTCTGTATACACAGTTGTGTGTATGTGGGAGGTTAGTCAGTTTGCGTCAGCACACCAAAGCAAGTCAGAATGCTTAAAAGCCTCATGTTGGTTTATAGGAAAGATTATTATCTTATTTTTTTAATGTAAGGGTACAAGATAAGACAATGTGAATGTCAAAAAGACATTTCATGAGTGAGTTTTAAATGAGACTAGTTTAAACTACTAAGCACTTTATAAGGAGTTTTACTTGTGTTTACCTTTTGTAAATGAAAAATGTAGCAGCGGAATATAACAAGTGGGTATAACAGTATATCAATGTGTGTATTTCCCCCCTGATAAATTTAATTGTGGCAGTATTTTCAATGAAAAAAGGCCTTTGGTGTTGTATGTTTGTGGTTTTACCGTGTCAAAACAATCTTAGAAAAAATTAAAAAATTTTCAAGTTTCTTATATCAAACATAACTTTGATGATATTGTGGACCCACTTTATGTCTCAATAGAGACTCTGTGTGGTAAACAGTTTAAATATCAGGGACCTTCTGTCACTCCTATTGCTTGTGAGTAATTGTTAGCCACTCCAGTATTTACAATGTGCAGCTTTGGAAGTAGTTTTAACAAGCAGCCAAAATGTCGAGAAAGGCCACAGAATTCCAGCAGCTTTTTTGTGTCTATTTCCAGCACCCCGCGCTGTTTCTTACATTGGTCAACCTCAATGGTTTCCTCCAGGGAAGCTCCATCAGAAAGCACTTGTACTGTTGTACAAAGAGATCTGTGTGACATGAGAGTAAAATACACATGAACTATTTCACACCACCATTATTATTTTGTGTCAATAATAGAGTTATACACTGTGGAAACCAATGTCTATTTTGTCTTCAATGTGCCTGAAATGATGAAGTGTCTAACTTTATCTTGCTGCTGCGTGAATACGTTGAATAACAAAAGCCTATTTGCGACAGACATGTAAACTGAGACTGATGGACAAGAAACTTGTTGTATCTGTGTAAATACATTTTTAAACATAAAACTATTTTCATAAATAAAAGTGAATAAATAACAAATGTAATGCTTGATTTTTTGATCTCTAAAAAACAGATTTGTACAGTTGTTTTTTTGTAAAAGCAATCCATGATGAATTTATAACAGTCTGTTTATTAAACAAGGTAAAGATACAAAGCTTTTTTTCCTTTTTTAAACATTGATAACCTTAGTTTAACTTCTCAGTCTTGGCTGTGCATATTTAGTTGTCTAGAAACTGTATATGAAACCACAATGCAAGACAGGAAAAAGTGTAATAAATCTACGCAATATCTTTTCATAGAGAACATGGGTTAAACAGTTATCATACAGATTACAGCTCAGGAACTCCATGCTGAAGGAAAGTAAAAATGTTTACACGACTGAATACTGCAGAACACAATACAGAGTAATGGAAATGGGGTGATAAAACAGTTAAGGCTTACATGTAAATAACTGATATAAAACATGAATATTAATAACATACGGGTAGACTAAAATAATTACAGTAAGTTCATACGTAAACTTTTACAAAACCCAAACAGAACATGTTTATGAAAACTTAAAAATAGGTACTATAAATGAGTAACATGATTTACAGTACAGCAACATGTACATTTTCCCATTAGAGAGAGAGAGTTGAAGTTGAAGAGGCAGGGTCTGTTGTTGGCGTAAATGTCTGTTTTCAGGCCAGTGGCTTGAGTAATAAGTTTTTATTCTTTTGAAAACATACTATATACTGTATATGTATTTTACATTATTCTCAGTTCCATCTCCAACGTAGCATCTAGCCGTAGCACCTTTTCTAAGTGCCCTGAAGAATACAGGGTACTCTATTAGTACCATCCAGAGGTTAAAGTTACAGTAAAAATACAACAAACAATACTGTGTACAATAAAAAGAATACTAAGGAGAAAAAAAAATCAAAAGGAGAAGCATTACCTCCACATTAACATAATATAGACCTATGGAATATGACTTATACTGCAGTTTATTCCAAATGGGTAAAGCTTATTAAAAGATTTTTAAAAAAATACTTAAACTGGGTCAGAGTAGCTGTACAGTAATTTCACATTTTGGTCCAATGTTTAGGTTTAAAATTTACCACTTGAGTAAAATTTCAGCTGAGGTGTATTTAAAAAGTAGGGCTGAGTAGAGCAGAGCTGGCACTGATACATGTGCAATGTATTCAAACTCTAATACTTAGAAAATAAGAGTCAAAGCTTAGCTGAATAGAGAAAGCAGAAACACACGAGAACAAGATGGACTTTCTCTCTAAACCTCAACAAGGTTCACATATGGCACTAGTTAATGGGACGTGAGGAAAACGTAATGTAAAAAGCAGTGTTTCTTTGATCATATGTTATGATCATAAAGGTGCCATAAAGGTGAACATCAAATACGGAGTGAAAGGTTTTAGAAAATAAAAAAACATTCATCTTTCTTCCCTTACATGTTGCTTTGTTTTTTTTGCCTCCCCAAGTCAATAATACAACTTCCTAATACAATCATTAAATGTTTAAATTGTCATCTACCGATTGCCTTTCTTCAAATTTAGATGACCCTGTAAATGTGAGTAAAAACAAAGAAAGTAACTCTTAGCTGCCACAAGTAATGCCCTTTGGCATTTTCCATCCAACAAGATTGAAACAATTTGAGCCAAAACCACAAGGCCTAAAAGTGCTTTAAGATTATCTTTGGATGTCTCCAGAATACACCCAGCAAACATTTTTTTTCCTACTTTCTCAATTTTTTTTACAAGGGCAAATATCATCTGGCACATTTTGGAAAAACCCATTTAATGGAAGAGGAAAAGTAAAAAAACTAAACTAAAACATTTCTCATGGCCAATGCATCCGGCAGTTTACATGACGCTTACGAAAGTGCTTATTAAATCTGACGCAAGACATTCTTTGCCACTCGATCCTCCGGACAACATCTAGCTGTATTGTTACATTCACAAAATAACGCTGTGCTCATTTTTGACAGACGGCCTGTGTCAAGATGGATGGAGGCAGCCTGTTAACTGAATGCTTATGTCAGCTGTCATAATGCTAATGTAAGCCTTATGTAGATGGCTGTGGGTGCAGGGCCTCATAAGCTCCAGCCTAACGTAGACTCTGAATCCGACCTGCTGCTGAGCCGCTGGGGAGCTCAGATGAGGGAGATGCGTATGGGGATGCTGGGGGACTCGGTCCTCTGAGGCGACTGGTGGCTCACTAGGTGCTCCACCACCGTGTGTTTGGACATGTGCTTCATAAGGTAGGTTTCCTACAAAGAGGTGAAAACACAACAAACAGTCAATGATGAAATTACTGACATTATAACCTGTAATAACTATCTTTGTCAGCAATCACAGTTGAATTTCCTGAATTACTAATTTATCTTAAAGTCCAGTGTGTAACATTCAGAAATGGAACATAATATGCATTTCTCTCTTTTCATTTGTGTACAATCTCCCGAAAATAAGAATCTTTTCATCTACGGAAGGAGTGGGTCCTCTTCTATGCTGTCCGCCATGTTGGACAGCCATGTTTCTACAGTGTCCCAGAAGGGACTAACCAAAGACTGGTTTGTGGTTTTTGCACGTTTAACGGCCACCATAGTTTCTTCTTCACGCTTGGAATGGGTAGGGTTGCAATCTGCCACTAAATCCTACCATTTTCTTTAGTCACGTATCAACTCAAACCTTCCCAGAACCTTGTAAAAATAACACGGGATGTATGTGACATCGTTAGTTTTAAAGCGACGGGACGAGAAGACAGTGGCTGCCTGGCAGACATGGGAAAGCAACGCTAAAACAAAACATTTGTTTGTTTATTTCGATTTCCATTCGCTATCGTATTGTAACAGTAGCTACTCTTCCTGGAGTCCCAGGACTGACTGACTGCTCACAGCTCAACACTGCAGCAGCTGATTTCACAGATGAGTTGCATCTCTTTTTGAAGGTGTGATAATGAGCAAAATTAGCTTCAGTTTTGTTTTGTTGGAAATTAAAACCTATAAGCTCTTCCACCTCAGTGGGTCTGGAACATGGTTGAGAAGCACTCATCTAATCTATTAAAGAGCACTTATTAAAAAAACAATGGAGGCTAATATTGTCTTAAAAAAAACTAAAATATGTTCACTTTGTTTCTGTCTGTTTGAACAGGAGCGAGAACGCGTTAAAATGTTAAATATCACAAACCGGAAACACGGCCGGTTTCAAGCCAGATGAGCCACACTATCATCAAAGGTCACCATCATATCAGCCATATGAACAGTCCGTCTGGCACACTGGGAAAATCTGACACACAGGAAGATAACAGATAACAGATAACCTGTGGTTTACTCACTGAGGTGTATGCCCGGCCGCACATGCTACAGCAGTAGGCCTTAGCGTTTTTGATGGCATGCGCTGACAAGTGGATCTGCAATGATGCGGAGTCTGAGTAGGCACGGTAGCAGTTAGGACATTTATACGGCTTGTCTTTATTGTGCTGCCTCTGGTGCGACTGTTGGGGAAGAAACAGATAGATGTTTTTAATTTTGACATTTATGATGTACAGTCAGTCAAAGCGGTGCACCTGCTCATGTCTTTACTACATTTCTCCGCTGTGTAGTTGTCCACCTCGGTGTAAAGTGACAGTTTTTGGTGGAACGACTAGAGTGGGAGAATGAAGCTGTGTACATGTACTGACCTGGAGGTTAGACAGCTGGGTAAAAGCCTTTTCACATCCGGGGTGAGCACATTTATAAGGCCTATCGCCAGTGTGGATTCTGTGGCAAAAGAAGCAAATCACAAAAAGTTAAAAATTGCTAACAAATTATGTTTTTAAAGCCACCTCTCTCATCAAACAGATTCTATAACTCCTCTTGCCACATCATTTTAGTCGCAAACTTGCATGCGTCTAATATACAATAAGAGAAATCCCCTGCCAGGTGAGGTGCCAGAGGTGTAAATGGCAGCTGACAAATGTGGAGCAAGAAAAAAACCCCACGACTTTAAAAAAGGTTAGTAATCTGTGAGTTAGCAGTCACTTCTCAACGGCTAATTATTTTTTTCCCACAATAACTAGACTTTCCCCTGCTTTGTGTTCACAGCTGGCCCGACCTGGTGTGCTGCTGCAGGTGTGACAGCTGACGGAACGAGTTCTCGCAGTAGGAGCAGTGGTAGGGTTTGATCCCCAGGTGGATGCGCAGGTGCTGGGAAAGGTAGGAGGCGTTGGCGAACGTCTTGGAGCAGTGGGGACACTTGTGTGGTTTGGCCTCCGTGTGGGACTTGGAGTGAATCTGCATCTCTGACTTGGTTAAGAAGGTGAGCGGGCACACTTTGCATCTTGGGTGACAGAAAAATGACAGAAAAAATGCATAAACATGATCAGATCCGGCTGTTTAAGTCAAAGTTAAAGTTAGTCTTGAAATAGAGCCTTAATAGAGACTATACAGCGGAATATTTTAAAGTATTAAACCATGGCTGTCCTCCATTTTCAAGACAAATAAAGTAAAACATAAACAGTTCTGAATCATAATCTATACCCAAACTGCAGTAGCAATGAGTCCCAATCAAAATTAGAGAAGAGTTTAATTCAAGATTAATTAAAAATAACCTCATGAATCTTGCAAGCTTTGGTTTTCTACAAGGATTTATTGAGGATACTGAGAATTCTGGCAGCTGGAAGTCGGACCATTTAGATAATAATGTGACTCACTGCCTCTGACAAACTTACTGATCCTCATGAAAAACAAAAAATATAATAATAGTAAGAAGAAATGTTCCATGGTATTCCAGGTGATAATAGCAGGCAAAAGTCAACCGAGTGAGTGGAGTGTTAATCCAATCAGGTGAAAGATGGGTTCATATTGATGTCTCAGGGAGGAGGAGCACATCTCAATCAACTACTGCGTACTTAAAACCTAACTGGTCTCAAGCAAATGCCTATTGATCTTTTGCAGACCACAATTAAATTAAATTGGCTTTGCATGGCCAGCAGTAAAAGGAAACATCCTTCGCCCTGTGATGCAGCTAAGAGTAGCAACTTCCTGTGTCCAACCTGTAGGTTTTGCCCTCTTTGGGTGCGACAGTGACACAGCCTTGGTCAGCTAGGATGGGGTAGGGCACCACCAGCAGAGGACCAGACGGGTTTTCAGCTTTGATCTTCTTCCGTCCCCGGGGTGCCTTGGGCGGGGGGCCCAAGAGTCCAGCCAGGCCTCCAGCTTTCATGTGGTCCATACCGGGACCGCTAGCCAGCCCAGAGATGATGTTCACGGAGGGGGCTCCGCCCAGGCGGTTGTGGCTGCTGGAGGTTGGAGTCGTGGGGGTCAGGGCCTCTGAGGTGCTGTGGCTGTCGGGTCGGGATGATGGAGCCAGACCTGTGGAAGAACATGAACACCTACTGCAACACTACGCATGACTTGAGGGGCTCCTGATTGTTTTAACAACCACATGATTGTTTTTTAAAGTTCTACCTGGTTGGAGTTTGTTACACAGATACATATTTGATGATTTTGAATGCATGCTGCACAGTTTTAGATAATACTCCTAAAACTTGTTTGAGTTGTGGAATTTATCAAGTCACTGATTGTTACAACTGTGATGCAAAGAATATATGATTTATAGTGAATAGGCTAAAACCACTGGTGTGGTTGTTTAACAGCTCAATAAGCTGTAAGATAAGAGCATCTTTAGCATATGTATCACTAATACGTATAGATTGATTTTTATGTCTTGTCAGTGTACCACAAGCCAGGGTATCTGGAAGTTTCACTGCTCCAATTTTGGTCTAAAATTATTTGTGCTAATCCCCAAAAACTCATATCTGTGTACCCTCATTGCCAGCCATCTGCCTGAAAACCAACAACTGTGTCTCTCAGTATTATTCCCTAATGTGTTGCTCAGCCTGCACAATACACAGCCTCTCTGTTTATTTCCCAACTTTACCCCTCAGGAACTGTTTAAATGTCTTATTTGATGTTTTGCGCCCCTTTCAGCCAACTAACTAAGGACACTGAGTACTTCAGCAGTTTCCCCATGTTGCCTGCCTAAATGCACACTGAATGTCAGTGCAGTAAATTTACTTGTCAGCTATGGCGTTTCCTTCGTTGTACCGTTACTGCGTGTGTGTGTATATCAAAATCTAAAGACAGTTAAACGGTCCGACTGATCACACTGCCGTCGGTTTTTGCTGATATTCTCCCCCCGTGACAACAGACCACCAAAAAGACCAGCTGACCCCCAGTACCTGAGCGATGGTTGATCCGGCCAGCTTGCTCACCGAGCTGTCTCATGTGCCAGTCTTCCCACAGTCCTTTGGCCTTTACCGCTGACTTGTCGTCCATATTTCCATCTGTAGGTTGTCAGGTGATTAGTCATTTTAGACAGTGAACTGTAAATTCTGTGTTATACTGTGTCATGCTCACGTCTAAGAATAACAGACAATGTGGGGTCAACAACTGTGGAGGTCCTTATTTAAAATGATATGTGACAAAAAAGCCTTTAAAATATATATTAGTTAGAACCTTTAATTTAATAGGTCTACAAACAAACATGGTTTCACGTTTTGATACCTGTGCAATATAATAGCTTGTAGTAATAGTTTTGTACCAAACCCCAACTTTTCTTTTTCAGCACCTACTTATATAAATATGTTTCTTAAAAAAGGCCTTTTTTAATTTTACAAAATATTCCAAACTTCTCAAAACATCAATCTTAACATCGGCAGCCTTATGTCAGACTTTTCCCACATAAACAAAAATGTTTCTGATTTTAACAGTAAATATCTGATCAAATAATAAGTAAACAAGACTAAAATTCTGAGCAAGCACTTAATGCCAACTTTTAGTACTCCACAGTTTTTGATACTTCATGCTACGGACTTGTTGAGTATCCATAATGTATGCCGGTCCAGTATCCGCACCTACAAAAACCACAAAGTGAAGACTGTACCTGGTCCAGAGCTGGAGGCGGGGCGAGCGTGCAGAGCGATGTCCGGTTGCCCAGAGCCTTGTGGCTGCTGGTGGTGGCCCGGCACCTGCTGTGGCTGGGGCTTTTGCACAGACATGCCGTGTTGTGCGCTACCGTCCGGGGACGAGGTGGGCACCAGCAAAGGCTGCTGGGAAGGGCTGGAGGTAGGCGGCAGGTGCAGGGGTCGGATTTTCTCAGCCATCAGCTGCTCCTTGATCTTGTTAATGAGCACCAGGTTATCCAGCTGAAATGGTTAACGGGTCATGCTCAACAGAAAACAGCCACCGTGTGTGAAAGTCATTCATGCCCCCAAAAACACATCCCAGGACAAAAAAACACTGACCAGCAACACAGTACAAGATCAATTATCTCTCACTCTGAGAGTTTGTTTCACTGACAGACTGGTGCTGAATGGCTGAAAAGACGTTCACACATGGAAACAAATGGCAATTAAAGGCGGAAATATCACAGTAATTACATGTAACGAGTGGACTTACCTGGCCCGGCATGGATGGAGGTGGCGGCCAGAAATACGGGTTGTTAAATCGAGGCTCTGCCATCCTGAAATGAATAACTTTTATTTTAGCCATGTTCAAAAGTCAAGTCAATGAGCTGTTACTACAAATATGTGAAAGTCAAACATTTTTTTCTCAAACTGTTCAAAACATTGTGAACACAGTGTGTAGGCTGAGCGTGTTAATGTGACAAACTGGCGGACAAAAATGATGACACCAAAAAACCCTGAACAACAAGCAGGTTTCAGTTGGAAGGGTGAGTATTTTCCGTTTGCCCCAACCTGCCGTTTCCATCACGTTCACTTTCCTCTATCTTTGCATGTGCTTCTGTGCTAACTGTTCCACTTATCCACCGAGGACAGATTCAGCTGAGAAATCCATCCTATGGTGTGTCTGCAGACAGCAGGAAGTCTGAACATTTTATCAAACCAAAAATAAATACATTTAAGAGACATCCTGCAGACAAGTTTCACTGTATAGGGGGCTCAATTAGGGGGCAAATGGAGGATTTTAAAGGTAAAGGTTTGGAATATTTTTAAGGACTTTTACTTTGATTGCTGTATTTGTTGCGATTTCCAATTTCTTCTACGACAAATACCAGCATATAGCTTCTTTTTTTTTTTTTTTTTACAACAGGTAAATAAAAATGCAGTCGGTTAATCTAGAAAGGTATGTGCATGTAAGAATGCAGTTACACACAGATAGGTAAGAGGGGAATGTTATGTCAGGGTTTGGGTTTTATGGGCTTTTAAAACTTCAAGAAATGAAATAATTTTGATTTAACAAAAATTAACAAACAAACAATTGAAACACTTTAGGCTGGTATTTAGAAATGTGTTATAATGGCTTTAAGGTAACCTCGGAAACAAATAGTTCCAGTTAAATCTTCACTCAAGGCTCACTTGCTACATTTTCATCCGCATCTCACAGTCTTCCTCAGCAGACCGGGTCCATCCACTGATGAAGACCTTGAGATGCAGTTGAAAAGTGGATTAATCTAGTAAGTGGTCCTTGAATCAAATTTCTTTGTAAAAAATAAATAAATAATAAAAAAAAAATTTAACATATTTTTAACATTTAACAAGGACCTACATTAAAGATAAAATGTATTATTTAATAATACAAATACATTAACAGTGCAAGAACTTGCAATGTTACCTTTATACTAATGAGTGAGTGTGTAAATCAGGCCTTACAGTGCCACCTTTAAGTTAAGGCAGGTCACACAGCTAAATGTCACCTACAGATGTTTTGTCACTTGTAATAACCCATGAATGAGACTGAGCCTTAGCCTGTTAGCTCGGACGTTTAGCCCCTCTCTTCCTTTTGTCTGAGAGTGAATTGCTTAAAAATAAGTGGACGTCGCTTTTAAATGTTCACACTAAAAAAAAAAACCAACTAAACTTTCCATTCTTTGACTTTTTTCGGACAATGTCGGCTGTCTGGCATCCACTCCGGACCCGAGCTGACGGCAGGGTTTTCACGGTCGACCCTCCCGGTGCGACTCAGACATTCTCAGACAGTTTTCTTTAAACATTTCCAGACAAAAGAGAAACAAAAATGGCAGCCTTATTTTTATAAGGCGGGACGCCATATTCTGCAGACCCCAAAAAATTTAGGAGCATGAACATGTAGTCGTGAGGACGGTGCCGGGGGAGAGGAGGCGGCCGACGCGGACACAAAGGTGTGTTTATCATGTCAAAGGCATGAATGATTGTTTACGGCGAATTGCAGGTTTGAATAGCCCGGCCTCCCCACCTCTTAAAAAAACTGACACTTCCTACAACAACCATGCCCTGCACACACACACACACACACACACACACACAAAAAAAACAGCACGGAAACGGACAAGATGCAGGCTCGACCCAAAACAACAAGCCCCGTACCGCTGCCTTAAAGGTCACACCGCTCCCGTCTCCCCCAGAAAGCCGCTGTGCCATCTTTACCAAATTTCACTTTTAGGGCTGCCTTTTTTCTTTTTTCTCCCCCCACCACATTCTGCAACTTTTGGACGAATCAAAGGGCAGCGACTGCGTTTTGTGCACAATGCACGCGTTTTAGGAGGCTATCGGCTCATCGGACAAATGCACCGCAGTGGAAGACACGAAAAGACATGCACAAATACCTTGTGTCCTGATTGCAGATATTGTCTTGCGAGTACAGCTATAATATAAAAGCTTGATGTTCTTTCTGCCTGCCTCCAGTCGGACCACCGCTTCCGGGTCGCTTTGTTCACTTCTGGGTGCTGCTGCAGGCTCAGTACAGTACAGACACAGACACACAGAGAGAACAGATATTCAATGCTGCTGTTTTTTTTTTTGTTTTTTTTACACGATGACCTACTTTATTCACGTTTCAATGGACAGCGCGTGTACGGTGGATGTAATAACGTTATGTTAGCGCCTGTTTCTGGGGTTGGATTTAGGCGACAGATCTGCAGGGGTGGAAGTAGTAACACACACCATGAAATCGCCACAATAAAATACTCCGTTGCAAAAAGAGAAGTACTGCGTTTAAAATCCCCTTCAAGTCAAATGCTGGCTGTTAAATGTACCCAAATATCAACAGAAGCTGTGGTTAAATGAGGGGGGAAAATGGCCCCTTTCTAAGTGTTCAATGACTGGAGCTGCTTAAAGTGACGCTGTTAGGTGTTTTAATCTGCAGCAGTGCATCACATTTTAGGAGCTCATCTTCATCAATGTGTTTTATGTGCAAAATAAAGATACACGTGAAGGTAAAATTACAACATGTCTAGAATGCCTTGGAGGAAAAGGGCAAAACTTGAATCCACCTCTTAGTCTGGTGAGCCAGCTCCCCTCAGTTAATACTGATTTGATGATTTCATTTAAGCTGGTAGACAATTTTTAAAGCGAGATCTAGCCAAGAAGACAGTATAAAAATAACAAAAATAACTATAGCTAATACAACTGTCACGTTCTTTAAATGAGTGTAAATTATCATAAGTAAATTGTAATTAAAGATACATAAACTAGATCTGAAATAAAGTTGAAACAAAAATAATTCACCAAGAGTCCATTTTTTCTCCAAACCTAGACAGTGTGAAGGTGCCAACTGGGCTAAATTTGGTTTGTAAATATCTAGGTTACACAATGTAACTACTGGTTGAGATAAACCTTAATTATTTCAACATTTCAAAGCTGTAATCTTTTAGTTGATATTTAGTCATTGAAACAGTGTTGAAATGATATTTACATGTAACTTCGACATCTAAAAACATTTGCTTTTCACTCACATTTATCCCAGTTTTAACTTTTACATCCAGACATCTGCTGGCTTCAGATAACTAAATAAAATAAAAGTTAAATTTATTGACTAGGTGTCTCACACTTTGTTTCTGCTGCGCAACATCTTTATGTAAGTGTTTTAAATCTCGTCCGTGCCCCGTACCATGTCAGCGTCGTCTTGTGTTAATACATCTGAGTACATAATAGACTTTGGGAACGGTAAATACCAATTTGATTGTGAGAGCCATGAAACAAACAGGATGTTCCTATCAAGAAAATGAATCTGACTGAAAGTTGATTACTATCTACTTTTGAACAAAACAAGGCCCAATCAAAGATTTGTGTCAGTTACTGTGTATATTGCATATGTATACAGTAAAAGTGCCAGACTGAGATGTTTTGCAGTGAACACACACGCAGTTTTGAAGCACAGTGTAGTTTTGCTGCAGAAAGCTAATTTGAATGTGTATGTGTGTGTTCAAAGGCTTTTTGCCAGTCAAGTAGACTTTTATGTTAGATGTAATATATATTTTTTAAAACATTCACCCGTCTGATCAGGGATTGAGCATACTGCATTTGATTGGTCCTCACTACTGGTACCTGCCTACTATCTCATCTAAATTTGTACTTTGTTTGAAGGTAGATTTTCATTGAAGTCACTAATGTGCCTAATGTATCCAGTGTGGTCGCCCTCCCCTTACACACACACAGCGACTACCTCCTACTGTATCCGACTCATGTGTTAGTCCCATATATGTCACCAGTCCTTGTGTGTGAACCACTTTATTATCAGTGGAATTATAGGAAACAATCAGACGGAGGGACTCATGCGATGACGTTGCCACCAATAGTCGTGTCACAATGTGCGTGTGTGTACTGGGTACATGATGTCTCTGTGTTTCCTGTTTCTCACTCCACTTCTCTGAAGACTCCAAAGAACTGACATCTCTGACCTACAAACACGCAAACACAAAGACAGGCTTCCTTTAAACCTATATTTGACTCAGATTGAAAGGAAGTCTACAGGTGGTTCAGAGTCACAATGCCTCATCCTGTTGGTGAATTCAGTGGTATCCTCACCGGGTGATATACTGTGACACTCTGACTTTTTCCTCCCAATGAGTGAAACTAACACTCACTCAAGTTGGTTGTTGAACTTCCTCAGGGTCGACTCATCCAACATGGACTTTATCTTGGTAAGTAATCCAATGTTTCGGGGCTGCTTTCATTTACTTTCTGAGTGGATTTTTATGTATTCATTAATGATTGTTTAAGGAACCTTATATTTGCTACATAAGGTTGGGGGATTGTAGTAGGTATGTAGTAGTATCTGTCATCTGTGATTATGATTGAGTACTGTGGGAGAGATTTACAGTATGTACAATCTCACTGTTGCTGTTTCAGTTAATATTAAGGCTCAGCATGTTGCTTTTTGTCTTGTTTCATCTGTTTTTTAATCTACAGATTATTTTTTTCTATTCGATCAGCAGTCTGACGATTTTCAGTTTACTATTATAAAACACTTAAGAAAATCTGAAAATATTCAGATTTACACATTTAGGTTTCTCTGTGACCAAGAGATATGAGGATTTGTTTCACAATCATTTTAAGATACCCTCGGATAAAGTCAAAGATGTCGAGCCCTCCTTTTATCACTTGCTGGCAGATTATGTATTGAGTATTAATGATGATTATGCAAAGCTCCTTTTTCTAAGAGTTAAATAAACGGACATCTGCATACATTTGGAATTAAGATTTTAAAGTAGGGAGTGGTTTGAAAGGCAGACAGATCGATGCTCACATATATAATATCTTCGCAGTTAGCAATTGGTCTGATTCATGCCTCAAACACCAATCTTTTTTCAGGAGTGTTGCTTAACATGCATCGTAACTTAAACACCCACCGCCATATGTGTGGAAGTTTGAAAGATGCCCTTTCAAATGTTTGTGATACAGTTTTTGCACGCATCAAACAACCACAAAAGTCATACGCTCTAGCATCCTCTCCTGCTCCTTTGAGCATGTGTGATATTACAATGTACTTTCCCTTTCACTGTTTTTTTTATTTTATTCTTCCCAGATATTATGTGTTTAGGTATGGGGCTAGAAGTGGGCTGGTGTTACAGTGTAACATTCAATTAAATATGTCAATATACTTATTTAATAACCCGAAGACCTGCTTGACATTAGAGGTGTATATGTCCTTTGTAGTGGCAGCTTTAGTGTCCAAGTGTCAGGTCAGTACATCTGTGAGCATTCCTCTTCACACATTACCTCAGATTATCAAACCTTGTTTTTTGTTTCAGGTTTTTTCACTGATACTTGCCTTCCTTCCCCCTGGACAGACAGAACAAACCACCAAACCAAATTTATGTCGTGAAAAGTGCCCAGCTGGTAAGTTATAACAAGGAACTGTATGTGTTGGCCTTTGGTTGTACAGTTACAATGGAATTATCTCCACGTGTCTGAACTCATTACCTTTCTCCCTCTCTCCCTTTCTGTCTTCCTCCACTGTTTCCCAGGTTATTATAGAGTTGATTCCTGTGGAACAGAAGTACAACAGATGTACAAATGTGAAAGATGTAATAATGGCACATACACAGAAATAGAAAACACTGTCTCTAAATGCAACAGGTGTGACACATGTTATTGTAAGTATCTTGTTAACTGCTTTGGGTGATGGAAAGTTTGTGGGATATCGTGTAAGCTTTTGATGTTGTGTTTTGATATTTTGTTCTGTTTTTTTAAGTTACAATATGATGCTATTTGTTGCAGTCATTATCATTCTATCATGCCATTCTGATGAAGTATAGAAAGTTAAATAGCAAAAGTGTACGTGGATGTATTTTGAGGGATCCAAGTTACATTTTGTGGTTGGGAAGTGGAAACACTGTGGTGACATAAATCTGTCTTGTCTTGTCAAATCCTCTAAACATTACATGTCGCACCTCACTGGCAACGTAGCAGGTTGAGGCTGAGATTAAAACTGTGTGAATTCACACAATGAGTGGCATTCCCATTTTAACTCCAGGTCAACTCCAGGTTACATGGGACCTGGTCCCAAAGATTAGTTCTGTCCCAGAACAGATTGAGCATGCAGCACATTTTGAACAAGAAATTAGCAGTGTACCAACCGATGCAATGTGAGAATTGATGAAAATAATCCTTGAATAATTAAAATTTTCATCAATTTATTTCTCGATTTCCTTGAAATGAATGAATGCTGTGGATTGAGACAGAAGCACTGTGTTTTGATCTTTCTCCCCAGCTCAGCATCATGTGGTAATAAAGCCCTGCTCCACAGATAGTAATGTGCAATGTGACTGTGAAGATGGATATTACAATGCAAATGCTGGGGGCGAAGACTTGGATTGCAAGCAATGCCTCTGTGAACACTGTGAAGGTAAGTCAAGGCAAAGGGAGTTCAATTCCTAGATAGGTTTTCACAGCTGTTATATTGATTAATTCCCTGGCTTATTCAATATACTATAACACTATAAACACTCTCAAAAGGAAGACATGGAGCTTTTTGAATTCTCACAATCACCCTCATATTTTCTTTCAGGGCTTAATAACTCTGACTACAAAAAGAAGTGCGAGCCCTGCCAAAGGTGGGAGATCTGACAATCTGACAGACGAAAACTCACACATGTTTAGTTTTTTTGTGACAAAGTGGAGAGCGCTTGCAGAATTACAACCTCAACTGAAGGCAGAAATCAGAAACAAATCCAATATATCTTGGGGAGCTGGGGAAGTATTTAATTTAAGTACTTTTTGGGTGTCTGTATCTTTATCTTACTACTTTGCTACATTTACCTTTCTATGTGTAATACTTTTTATGATAATTGATACCTTTTGGGATAATTTTATTTCTGATATAACAGTGGATTCGATATGTTCTATTTGTGTTGAAGAGGCTCTTCTATTGTCTGATTGGCTTAATGTGGGAGCAGATTGATTCTGTAATTATGCAGACTGCAACCGCCGTAATGAGTGTGTTTATGTATATCCTGCGTATTGCCCTCTCTGTGATTAGATTAGTTTAGTTTATCTGACTAAGCCTGATTAAAAAAAAAACCTTGTGAGGTTGAAACCAAACAGAAGCAATGAGTCGATGTTTCTGTAGTTTAATCGAGCAACTGTTGCTTATATTTATGTAGCACCACTGAACCGCGAGAAACAAAATGTTGTTCCCATGTACTCTGCATGTGGAAATGACAATAAACAACCATGAATCTATTGTACAGCTTTTGAAATATTTTAAATTTGACTGTTTTTATAGACTAAATGAAAGTGAAAAAGCATGTCTTTTGATCTTTTAACTGATTCTGTGTTTGGATGTAAAATGTGCCTCCTTGTTCAAATCAAGCATGACATCTAGGTCAAGAGGCATGTTGTATTCTCATTAGAGTGGAGGAAACTAGTGTGATTCTGTTGCGAATTTCCAGTTTTATTTCTCTGCATCTCTTTTAGACACTCAGATCCTGTGGTTTTACTTGAGCCCTGCATGTGCTGTGCTGAACACTGTGTCTGCGGATGTTTAAAGTCTTAACACAAAGGCACACTTTTTATGTTGTTATGTTCATTTAGCATTACTGTTAAAGGATTGTAACTGCCCACAGGCACAAATTACGGACAGGTCTATCTTAAAACAATAGTCTGTCACAGATACTGGCAACTGAAAGATTCCTTTCTCGTGAGCTTTTAATGTAAGCAACGGCATCCTCAAAATCCCATTTCTGTGCAAAACTAAAATGCAAAAAATGTATTCAAAAGTTGATCTCAAGCTAAAGTTACAGTCTCTTTGTTGTCCCTCTACTACAGTTCAGTAGGGACACACTGTCCAGGCAAACTCTTAAGTGGGAACTGTATATTAAAATCATAAAAATATCCACTATCTTAAACTGTTGAAGCATCATATGAACTTCACATAATCTTTTGACGGATTTTTACACAGAACAAGGACTGTAGATTTTCTCTGCCATTGCTTACACATTAAGAAAAGATCTTTTAATGGCCAGTAAGAACAAGAGGAAAGACTATAGCAAGTGCCAACTGTTTCAGTATCCACATGGGCACCACACTACTAATTGTGAACCTATTATTTGGTGTATGGATACATATAGTGTTAGATTGTGCTGTGTCTATACTAGTCTCTCATTATTTTTTCAGGGCTAAGTGTCTGAAAGACCCAGAATGCAAGAGGATTTGTCTAAATGTATCTACAACCCCATCTACACCTCCATCTGTAACTCCATCTGCAACTCCATCTATAACTCCATCTGCAACTCCATCTACACGTCTGTGTAAAGCTCCATATCCTTCACCTAATTGCTAACTGTTAAATATGTTCTGTAAATGTGTACTTTAAAGATCCAGTGTGTAAGATTTAGGAGGATCTATTGGCAGAAACTGAATATAATATTCATAGCTATGTTTTCATTAGTGTATAATCACTGGAATATAGGAATCATTACCTTCGAATGAGCCGTTTTTATCTACAGACACTGAACCGCCATGTTTCTACTGTCGCCCAGAACAGACAAACCAAACACTGGCTGTAGATAGTGCTGTTTGCATTTTTTCGAAGTTTCCCAGGCTGTCAAATACAGACGCTAGCTGTTTATATTTGGTGGGAATCTGCAACTTCACTGCTATACGCCACTTAATTCTACACACTGGTCCTTTAACAAGTGACACTCTGGTCAGTGGTTTTGGAGTTTTATGACTCATATGCCCTTTACGCTCACATTAGCTGTGGACATTATATTAAATGTTACAGAGCTTAAATATTTCCCCTTTTCAGCACCACGTGTGATCAGCTTACAATTATCCAAGTTATTATCTTGAGGATCATTTCTGTTTTTTTATCTTCAAAGGTTTTCAGACGGTTAGAACTAATGAGTGGTGGAATGATTTCAGTGTTTCTTTGTGTCCACAGCTTTGAACCTAATGCCCTGGCTTTTTCTCATCGGGGTTTTGATGACATTTATGCTGCTCTTTTGGCTCCTGCTGCTCTTCACCAGGAACTCACTCAGATACCCTCATTATTGTCCATGCTGGAGTGTGAACAAGGACCTGCAGCCACCTCCCGAGGACCCCAAATTCAATGGTAACCGGCTGTGCCAGTACTGTTCTTAAATACAGTTTTTGGGTACTTGTGCTTTACTTGAGCACTTTATACTTCACTATATTTCAGAGTCGCATTTGTGTATTTGTTGTTTAGTATTAGTAGTATAGTATATAGTATAGTATTCCACTATATTAATTTGATAGCCTAATTTACAAGTTACTTTAGAGATCAGTATTTTACATGCAAAACATATGATCAGCTTGTAAATATGACAGTGTTATTTATACATTGAACTACCCAACAGTAGGTCAAATACAACATGCCTCCTCATTAATGCATCTCTAATAATTGTGATATATGATAATATAACACCATTTGTGCCATTCTGTGCACAAATAAGTACTTTTACTTGATACTTAAAAAACATCTGGCTGTTAATGCTTCTGTACTTTTACTGCAGTAACAATTTTAATGCAGGGTTTTTACCTTGTGGTGTTCTAACTCGAGTAGCTACTTTACACACTGGTGCTTAATTTACCAAAGCTTTGGTCTTTCAACATAAAAATACCAGATGGATATAATTAAGTGAACAAATACTTAGTATAAACTAATATATACATTTTTGTGCAGTTACAACAACACAACCAAAGATAAACTCCCATGTAGGATTTCTTACACAATTAAAGTGCATGTATAAAATGCAAGAGACATTTATTGCCACTCTTAGGTATTTCCAATATTAAACAAAAGACATATTTTCAGAGAAATGTATCGGAGTATCTTATTTTAATGCGCTTTCTTTGCTAAATAAACTCAAGCAGGAAGCTAACTGATAATATCTGCTTTCCTCCTAACAGAACATCGCAGTCATCAAGACGGCAGCCCGACTACGCTGGTTAGTGCTTTATTTGATGCATTTTGTGTTCTGATGAGATGGAGATCTAGATTGGAGCAGAACTGTACGTGGTCAGATGTGCAAAACATACACGTAGAGGTCAAATGTTGATGAGTTTATAGTTAACTTGAACTAAAGCAGTAATAAATAAAGACTCTGACTCAGCATCCCCACTATTGTTATTCAGTTCTGATTATATAATTGTTAAGGTGATTTGCTGGTGTTTGTAGAAGGGCTGTTGAATTTCACCCATCACTCTCTAACACATTCGAGAGTTGGCTGCAACAAAGATTTTGACCTCCTGTTTCTCGTTTGTCCTTTCAAGACATTTACCATATCTGAGGAAACCCCCATGATGTCTCTAAATCTGAGTCCAGCCACACCAGAACATCCAGCCCACGTCAGTCCGCTACTGCCTGATGCTGAACACAAAGGTAAGATTCAGTGTTGGATGGCGATACACAGCCTTTGTTCAACACATTGTGATGTATATGTTGTCCAAATCATTCCAATAGAACATGAAAGAAGTGGTTGTAAAAACATCAGAGATACGTACTGTGTATGTAAAACATCATATCATTTAGATTTTCATCTTTTACATTATTTCAGTAGAAGTTTGCATTGCGTTGTTGTATAAAAACAAAATTAGGTGAGATATGGCATGTCAAAATAGGCTTGAAGTGCTAACAATCGATTGTATTTATTATCAAAACTGTTAATTAAAAATGTAAACGGTCACTTCACGTGTCCATGTCATGTTAAGAGTCATGGTGAAATAACAGAGAAAGAAAGCATCTATAAAAGGCAGCTCAAAGGTGTTAGGATCTTATCTGAATCAACCTGAAAGGAAATCATCAGCTTAGAACTAGTTTCAATACTGTGGTTGAGACATGAAGTCAGACTCATATTATCGAAGACACATTTTGTCTCATGAAAGTAAGAAACTAATTTGTGAAAAAGAAAAAAATATGTGAAATTGGTGTAAAAAAGAGTCAAATAATGACTGGAGTGTTTTATGAAACTGTGTATCTGCAATGTGCTGGAAGTGCACCAGAAGTAAAGAAAAAACTGCCATTTAAAGGACAGAGGGACAAACTACTTAAATTTGAAAAAAAGGGCTTGAGGGAGAATGACAGATTAAATTTTGCTTAGATCTCCAGACACCAGTTTAAATAGATTTTTTTTAAAAAGTGATACAGAGTATTATATAAACGCATCAGGGGGAGAGACAATCAACTTTCTGATGTCAGACACTTGTCATGCCATTAAATCCCACCTGGTCTTTTACAAGTGGAACTTTAACCTTGAACGAGACCTACAACAACAAACAAACTACAGATCCCAGCATTAATATAGCAACTTTATTTGTATTTGAAGCATTTTAAAGTACTCTCTAACTATTACCTGCAAAACATTTCTTGCTCAAGGGTACTTGAGCTGAATGGTTGCTTACATGCACAAAGGCTTGAGTTTGTCTGTTTTTCTAGTTAAAATGTAGCATCACAAGTCATCAGACTGCTAATGTCAAATGTCTGGTTGACACTTCCCTCCATCTGATTACTGTTGTGGTGTACTATCTTCAGCTACAGTGTTTTCACACTTGGCGTGGTACCCTTTTCATCTCTGCTTGTTCAGCTTGCTATTTATCACTGATCAGTAATGTGGCCCACAGTGTGGAGGTGGAAACTGGGAAACAAGACACCCTCACCTTTTCGCATCAGTCAGCATTTCAACATTAGGGGAAATGGCAAATCAGATACTGAGTGCATGTCACTAAGCTGTGAGCATTTTGTATCCTTGTACATCACTTTCAAATCATACATACATGTTATTTATAGAATACGGAGTGTAACAGAGTCTTAAAGCCTCATCGGTTTTGCACTTTACCTTTCATGTACTCATTCTCAGAGTTCATAAGACTTGATTATTTAAATGAAATTACACTAGATCAATGCTTCACGCCTGATATTGCAATCTAAGTTAATTAATTTTATGATACAGCCCTGTCTTGCCAGGCAAACTGCTGAAATTATGTTTTTTTTTTAAAAGCACAATTTAAAATAGGGTTAGAAAGGTTTCCGTGAGTATGTGATCATAGTGCTGAAGGCATTGTGGTTTGCATGAGGTAACCGATGGACGCCTGCTTTGCTTTTACTGTACGATGTGAATGGGGGGATTTTACTAGGTAGTCACATCATAACAAACCCGCCCTTATGTCACCTAATACATGGCGCTGTCTATCCTGTGCACTGTGTTGTTCCGTGTCAGTGTGAGCAGTGGCCGTATGGCTGCTAGATGTCTTTTCATGCATCCTTGTGTGATTCATGATTGATTGTCCTGTAAAAAGAAAAAAATCCCCACCAAGCATTATTGTCTATTTCCATAATCCCATAGAAAGACCTAAACCAACAATGTGTCAGTCAGTTCTTAGAAGACATTAGTCAAATAAGAGGAAATCTTGAATCATGAATGAGTAAATAATGACTAATTATGAAACTGGTCACATTGCAACAATGTATTCTGGACAACAATGGCAGATACAATATATACTCTGTGCCATTGTTGTCCTGAATACATTGTTTGCATAATGTATATATTTTTAATTTATAGTTTTATATTTTCTATTATATTTTTGTAATTTTCTTATTTGTGATAAGATTGTATATTTTTTGTACACTGTACTCATTTTATTGCACTATATTCCTTAATGCTGCTGTGTGTAACTTGAATTTCTCCTATGGGGAATTAATAAAAGTATATCTTATCTTATCTTCTCTTATTGTTTGTATGTATGTATACATATATATGTATATATATAAAATACTGTAAGTGTATATACATAGTTTCTGTATGACCTTTAGGTTGAGCTTGAATCTGGGTTTACAGTAAACCAAAAAAAAAAAACCCAAAAAACAAGCCAGATAATATAACAAGGTGTTTTATATTGTGGTTAAGAAGTTGTACACAGGTCAGACGGCACAGTCTTGCAACTGTTGAACTTTTTCCACAGCAGAGTTTTCAGTTTTGCACATCCAGTGTCTGCTCACTGTCTGTGATTCTCTCCTTCCAGCTGACAGACAACATGAGCAATCGGGGCACTGGCCGGCCATCGTCCTCTATACAATTATCAAGGAGGTGCCGTTGCGCCGGTGGAAGGAGTTCTTGCGTCTGCTCTCGGTGGCTGATCAGCAGCTGGAGCGGGTGGAGCTGGAGGCCGGTTTAGGTCTGGGCTCCACAGAGAAGCAGTACCAGATGCTGAGGCTGTGGAGCCAGTGGTCCTCTGCGAGCCTGAATGATGTTTTCTCAGCCTTGCACTACATGGATTTATCCGGCTGCGCTCAGCTGCTGCAGGAAAGCCTGGAGAAGCTGCAGTGGAGGCCTGAACTGAAGCAAGGTTTCACACAACATGGTTTGAATGGGGCAATGCAGGACACCTGAGGCCGCACCTCGGGACACACAGTACCACACTATCATGCAATAAGAGACATCAGTACTTGGACGCCAGTGTGTAGGACTAGAAACTTCAAGTTCCTAGAATTATGTTATTAACTGTTGGTACTACATGGTACAACCACAGACCACAATAATGTCACATATGACTGATACTGAGTAATGTAGATGTATATTACAGTCTGGCTAAGAGTTAAATGGCATTATAAAGCACTGTGGACATAGGCCCAACTACAATTTGATGTTGTCCTCTTTTCCTACTTCTTTTTATGGGTTAATATAATGACATACAATCAAGACAAGTGTATAATATTTTCTTTCTTGAGTCTGTATTGAGTTGAGCTTTATTTTACCTCCTTATTGACACTTTAAATACAGAATGTACATATAGAAAGTAATAAAGTCACAGAGTCAGCTGCACAACTGGAGCTTGGGTTATTAAGTGGATTCATCAAATGCATGTGACGACAAGAACACTTTTGTTGAAGAAGGACATCACATAACGTTCAGGCAGAACTCTAGTAATCGAGGTCGAGAAAAAGAATGAAAAAAAGAATGAAGGGGAAATACCCTTCCTTTAGCTATACTCACATAACGCCATTTAGCACACAACTTAACCTCCAGCTTCTGTGCGGTGTCTCTCAAAGGCCAACCGTGGAAAGCTGTGGTTTTACAGCAGAGTGCTGAAATGTAAATGTAACTCAATGAATTTGTATGTGTGCACAGAAAACACAGGAAGTAGTGAATAGGAATATGTTTGAATTGTTACGAAGTGTAGAAGGTTTTTTTTTATACTTCCACAAATTGGTGCTTAATTTTCTGTGTTTTTGTTTTAGTATTTCACTTGTCAAGTAGTTCAGTTTGAGTATATAAACTGTGTGAACATTTCAGTGTACATCTGTGATGTTTTAGCAGCATTGCTGCAATTCCTTTCACCATGTCTGACATCTCCTTTAACATAAACAGCTCAGCCACTGATTCTAGTTGTGCACCCTCGCAAGAGAAGAAAACTGAAATCCCCACAGGATGTCTGGTTTTCAGTTTCCTGCAAATACATTGTGTCAATGTGCAGTAGGCTGGGTTTTTCCTCACCACACATATTCCATCCAACCTGATGGTTTCCTGTTGTGAGTTTGGGGTATCTCACTTTGAGAGTTTCGTGTGTAAGTTCAGTTACTGACAGTAAAGGATCTGGACTTTCCAATTAATGGAATTTAATGAATGTTTTAAGATGAATGTAGGTCTGTGTTTTTTGGTTTTGGGCCTTGAGACGTGTGTATGTATATTGTATTATTATTATTTTTCATTTTCTGAAACTACTTATGGATGCTTGTATGTGTTGTTACAAAGCTCAATGAGTGTATTATCATACGGTCAGGGTTAGGTTTTTATCCTCACTGGAGTCACGGATGGTACAAATGTATGGTAACATGGTACTGTAAGAGCCTTAGTCAAAATGTCATTGTACAGTTATGTCATGAATAAAAATTCTTGGCCACAAGGTGGGAGTATTGGCTAAGTGTTTGAACAGCAGCAGCTGGCGTGCAGTTTTAAAGAACAGGACCTCACAAAGAAATTGTAGGCAGGGTGCTTGAGGAGCTTTTATTCTTGAGGTGGATTTGACCAATCTCATGAATTGCAAATTCTGCTTCAGCACAAAGAACAGCTGTCCTACATTGTCCATATCCCCTGAATGGAAAACGCATAGATCCCATACACAGAGACGATTTATCATATAGACAAAATGTGTTACAAAGTTAGCTTCTGAAATGTTTAAATAAACAATCATGTGATAAGCTGTAAGTAGCTCTAACTTCTGAAGAGGGAAGTCATATTTACAACTGTACATGACTACAATAATGAACCTATTTTATCTATTTTTTTGTTTAGTTTTTTAGTTTTATGTGAGATATAAGTACAAGAACCTACTTTTATTGTTATATTAGTGGTGTCTAATCTATTAACGTGGGTCACGTATGACCTTTTCTCACTTTCACCACTTTTCCCCGGAGTGAGTTGCCGTAAGAGGAACAGATTTTAATCTGACATTAGTGTAAACCCCGGGCGGTGTCCCATTATGAAGCCCTGCGGTGTCCCTGCGAGCAGCAAGCGTTAGTGGTTTCCATTGGCAACCGGGACCGTGCTCACGAGAACAACAGCTCGCGCATCAGGACCCGTCCCGACACCAGCGGAGACCGAGCCGCGAGGAGTTTACCGTGACGCGAGGGTTGTTGCGTTTGGTTTGTTGTTATCTTGTTCCTGGTATCTCGGTGTCTTTCCACATGTTACAGACTTTAAAAAAAAAAAATACTTCTGTTGTATGAGCGGACGCACCGTGTTGTCCCGGCAACTCTGAGCCGAGAGCTATTGAATTACAATAATGGGGCCCAGGTTTTCTGTTGTCGGGACGGTGAGCTGCACAACATGAACTGACAGCGACCGTAGCGGTGAGTTGTTTTCTTACTTAAAAAGTCACGGATTTAGTTTTTTTTAGTTAAGGCAACAAAAGCCAAAGGAGCACGTAGGTGAAGCATTGGCCAGAGAAAGCGAGGAATCCCCTTCACACACACACACACACACACACACACACTCACAGGGGGGCTAATGCGTTTTCAGTGTGCATATGATCATGTTAAAAGTATTATTTGACTAATTCCGACGGTACTAGACCAGAGTTTTTTCACTTTGCCTCCAAATGTTGCTTATGTGAGTTGCTTAAAATTCCACCAATATTAGTAACGCTGAACACAAATATTACTTTGACCAAAGTTCTGTGTTTGCATAGGTTATTATAAAGGTTCATTTCTTATTTTTGCAAGCTGGTGGGAAGCAGGTTAGAGACTTTCAAACACACTTGACTGAACGTGTTTCTCGTTAATAAAAGAGTTGCATCAGTATCACACTTACAGAACAAAACATGTCACAAAACACCAGTTCCACAATGGGCCAAATATCAGCAGTAAAAATAATACTGAACCAGATAATAATGAAATAAATGATGCTGAACTCCATTTAGCCGCTTCAGTTTCAGGCTCCTGGTGTTGTGCGTGCTGCTTCACTGGGACACTGCCTGTTGTGAGATGTTGTGATACCGTTTGCTGAGTGTTTATTATTCTGCTATTTAACCTAATCATTTCTAACCATTAGGTGACCTTCACGGTGAACAGGTGGCCAGAGAAAAACGGCTATACCGGGCCTGCTGCCTGATCATGACTGCTGTGGTTCGACCTGGAGTCACTGTTTCAGAGCTATGTGAGGAAGGAGACAAGTTCCTTGAGGCAGGAGAGCTGGAGAGGGCGACCTCTCTCTACATGTCTGCCTTCAGGACCCACGCTGCCTCCACTGTGTCCCACATGCGGAAACTGAAGTCCAGCCTGGGTGGGGTGATCTCTACTCTCGAAGGTTGGCTTGACAGTCATGCGGAGAACCAGCCTGCTGAGGGTCTTAACAAAGGTCTTGCAGCCGTGTTTCTGTCCACGCTCTGCCCCAACAATCTGTCAGCCACCATTTTCAAAATGGAGTCCCTCCTACAGAGTGGCGGGCATGGCTGCGAGGAGATCTACGCCCGCTGCACTGCTCTGCTCGACGGGAAGCGAAACTCTCAGTCACAATGTGCGACTGACGCGGTGTTGGAGATAACTCGGGCCCTGGCCTGCTTGTTCTCAGAGCCTCACGGTGTCAAGGGGCTGAAGCTTTACCTCAAAGCTTATCAGAGTAACAAGTCTGAAATCGTCAAACTGGTGAAAAGCAGACAAGCTCTGCACCTACCAAAAATAGTGAGGGCCTTTACAGACCAAATGCTGCACATACATCCCTCTCTTATGTGTGACAGCGAGTCTGCAGTGACAACAAAGGAGAAGGATGAGCTAGACGCAGAGGATTCCTCTACAGTTGTTGAGTTTTTGTTGGCTCTCTCACCTGGTTACAGAGAGGTTCAGGAGCTTCAAGCAGCATATTTGTTTTTGACAGGCAGGTTTGGGGACAGTGCGGAGGTGTACTCTGCTCTCTTGCGTCATGGTCATTGTCAGAAAAAGTCAGAGAGCACAGACAAGTCATTCCGAGACACTCCCGAGAAGAGAGCCGGACTCTTCATCAGCCGAGCGGCTGCCTTTTTGTCAGCAGGTGGACGGACTGCGGAGGCGTGCAGGGATCTGGGGGAGGCATTTGAGATCCACCCTGCCACTGCTCGAATTTATTTCCAAAAGCTGTTCACAGATCAGGGTACAGGGGTGGCTGCTCGCAACCATCTCCGTCAGCAGGCAGAGAGGGGCCTGTCTGGTTACAGAGAAAGGGTCCTCATCCGTCCAGACCTGCGGTCCACTGAAGGAGTTGAACTCCTGGACCCTGTGATCACTCAGTTACGGACTCTGTGTCATTTAGAGCCTGGCGGCGGAGGCAGACAGCTGCGAGTACGACTGGCTGACTGTCTCCTCCTCAGAGGGGAACACAAGGAGGCCCTTTCTATCTGCAGCCAGCTAGCTGCTGCCCAAGGTCAGCAGAGCTATCAGAACACAGTGCAGGTTCTTCGTGGATATGCACGTCTTCTCTCTGATGACCACAAGGGGGCGTTGGAAGACTTTCAGGCTGTGATTGAACACGATGCCCCCCACCCATCCAGCTGTGTGCGGGCGCTGTGTGGCAGGGGGCTCCTGCGCATGACGGGTGGCTTAAACTACCTAACAGCTCTAGACTATGTGACAGCCAGCAGGCTGCAGCCTCAAGAAACAGCACTGACTGTTCGCTGCCTGGTGCCGTGGAACTACCGGGGGCTGCTGTTTACTGTGTTACTGGAGCAGGGACGAGTCATGCTGGAGGGGACTGGAGAGAACGAATCAAAGTCCAGTTCCAGTGAAGACTCCGAACAGCCCCGGCAAGGGGATCAGCTGCAGCCCCCATCAAAGAGAGACAATGACCGATCAGGGTGTGACGTTTTTCTTACATACAGTGTGCTCAGTAGGACTGTTTTGACATGTCACAGTATGAAAAGCACAGGTGTAAATAATAACATGAATGATGTCCATAGCTTACTGGGTCACTTGAATAAAACTGAGCCAATGTTAATATTATTAATAACAGCTGTGCTTTTCCTATATGACAAGTTAAAAAGACCTATCCAAAAGTTAGTTAGTTCTTTGGTTGAATTTAATCTCAATACAAATTTAAGTTCATGATGTCTGTTCTAATGAAAGTCCTCATTCATGTTTTCTCAAACGAATGCATTTTCTCTGTGCACTTTTTCCCGCTCTTTGCATCAGGACTCCTGCTGGTGTCCAGTCCCTGGCTGTGCTACTGATGGAGCTCCAGCCCGGTGCTGATGGGTCTCAAATCCTGGCAGCAGATGCCTTGTACCAGCTTGGCCGGGTGGAGGAGGCCTACCGGCTGCTACTTTCCATCGGGGCCACGAGTCCTCGCGCACCCGTACTGGCTCGGCTCGCCCTGCTGCAGCTGCACAGAGGCTTTCTTTATGACACCAATCAGGTATGTAGGTTTGGGGCAGTGGGTCCCAAAGTGAGGTCCAGAGGCGACATTATTAATAATTTATTTATTGTGAAAATCAACACTGTCATGATTGATGCCATGTGAAGGTTTGGCAAATGTTTAAATAAGTGATTTCCCAACACTAATTGTAATTTCTGCACATATAGTAGACAGAGTTATCTATTTAAGATTTCTGTGTGACACATTTTTGAAATGTCTTTTCTTTTCACAGTATTTCTGTTACACAGAGCTACATTTACATTATAATGTTTGATAACACCTGTTGCAAAGGCTTTGAGTTTTAATGCATTGTTGCAATGTAGCCTGTTTCAGTAGCCTGAGCTAAAATGCTCAGACCCTTGATTATAAGTAGACCGGGCAGCTGAGTGAAAACGATAGGGTTAGGGTGAGAAAGGCCTGTGCTATTCCCATGTACTCAAATTGCTCCCTGGACAGGGTTAGGGAACCACAAGGACTCATTTACACCCCTTCTAATGAGATTTCTTAATTTGTATATGAGATGATATAGCCTTTGTAAAACTGGTGCCACAGCAAATCTGCATTTGTCTCACTGGACAAATCACAAGCATACAAATACAAATATAGTACAAGCAACAACAGGATGCTGGTCAGCAAACACATAAGACACATTAAAACTGTACTCAGCTGTACAATCAGCTTTAGAACAACAAATCAGGTGATTCAGTGTTTTTTCATTATTGAATTTGAATTTTCAGTGTTTTTTTGGAAATAGCGTGAAACATAGAGTTTACCCTACTTAAAGGTCTAAGTTTATATTAGTCACAGACAATGGCACAAAATTACAATTGCGTTTTATTTTTTGTGTGTAAGGTAAATTCGATGGGCCTGGTTTGCCCTTTGTCACCATTTAAGCATTAGTCAATAAGTGTTTGAGTTTGAACAGTTCAAATCATCATCATCATCATCATCATTATCATCAACTGAACTGAACATATTTTGTAGTGTATATTTCTCTGAGGTGAAACAGTAACAACACAGTATTACTTCATTGTACTGTGAAAGAGATAAAGATTTTCATATGTCTCCATTTCCCCGCAGCTGCTGAAAAAGCTCATACAGTGTGGCGACACAAGCTGCTTGCGCCCCCTGTTGGCGGTGGCGCAACAGAAAGATCGGGCGCTGCTGCAGTCGCACTGCCACTCTGCTGCAAAGCGCATCCTGGACGGCACACGAGACGAGAGCGCTGTCAGGGAGGCTGTGGCGTATCTCTCCATCGCTATCATGGCCTCTGGTGATTAGACTCAGACTGATGAGATATTGATGTTTGTTATTGGTCTGATTCTGATTGTTGACTTAATTAATAGCGGGTAATACTTTAATCTAGATGGGGGAACGATTACAGGGATAAAGAGAATGATTGGCACAAATCCAGCTTTGTTTTTGTGTGTTTGGCTTCAGTTCAGAGGTACATCTTTCAAAACACTGAACACAAAGCAGGCAGACTGACTCTGTATTATTTAACTAAAAGACAGCCCTCCCGAGCAGAAACCATTTCAATACTTATCATACTTGTGACTAAACTGTGTTTGGATCACTGCTTGTGATATCATAATGCTGTGAATATTGTGATACAATCAATCAATTGTATTTTTCAAGGTGGTGAGGCAGCAGACTCTTTGCTGGAGAGAGGTCGGTGTTATGCCCTGCTGGGACAACGAAAGACAGCCATCTTTGATTTTAGTGCCATTCTGAAGGAGCACCCAAAACATGTTCGGGCCCTCTGTGGACGAGGCTTCACTTACCTCATGCTTAACCAACAAAAGGTATTTTCGAGTTGGAAACACGCCGCAGCTCAGAGCTTGGTCTTTAAACAGTTTATTCCTCTTCTGCGGCCTTCTCTAGACTTCAAGCCACACTCTGCCACATCAATGGCTGCAACTGGCAGTGAAAGGTACCTGTTTGAACAACTTGAATCTCAGGCAAAAATTACATGACATCTAATGACATCTGTAAAGCACTAGCATCATTCGTATGCTGACTAACATGGGCAGAAAAAAATTGCAAAAGATGTATAATTACATGCTGGCGCACTAGGAATAATTTGGGCAAACATCTCAGGGGATGGAATACTGTTTTCTTTTACCAGCATGTAAATATTGGTGTACAATTGAAGTATGAAATTCAAACAGCCTTTTTCTCATAGGAATGCACCCAGGATATCCTGGCAGCACTTCAGATAAATACTGACATAGTCACCAAAGACATCCTGTCGCTCAAGGACAAGGCACGGAAGCTGGTCTGTGATTGGCTGCATCAGTTCTGTCGAACCAATCTGTCAGACATCCTGGCTGCTAGTTCTGTCCCCTGCCATGAAGAGCAGCTCAGAGAGGCTTTTATAATTGGCGGAGCTCTGATGAGGACTGACTGCAGGGACCCCAGATGGCATCTCCTCTACGTGGACATACTCTCAGCCAAAGGTGAGACGGGAACTTTGCCAAGCGTTTCTGTTTGAATTCCCAGTGGGATCCTTGGTGTCACTGGAAATGGTCTGGTTAGGAGATGATGGTTTAGGCTGTGTGGTCAGATGTTTCCACTGGTAAAAAGAACTATTGAATGTGACTCAGTAATCCTTACTCCTGCTGATGTGGTCCATCTGCTCCAGGTGAAGTTAAAGCAGCAGGTGCTCATCTGTGCCAGGTGTTTGGTCAGGAGCCCAGAGATGCTTTGGCCCAGGCCAGGGTGGGTGTGGTGGAGGCCTGGCAGCAGAACTACCGCAGCGCAGCTCGCAGGCTCAGCAAAGTGACTGAGAAAGATTCATCCAGTCTGGACTTCCTGCTGGCCTTGATCCCAATCAATCAGCGAAAACGCATCGCACAGGTAAGTCTACGAGCAAGAATCCGAGATTTAGTGTAGAATGACGCAAAGTTGCTTGTGGTGGCTATGGTGACTGCATTTTTTATTTTACCATCGTCAGCAAATTAGTTTTATAATTTATTGCAGACAGTTCTATGACAGGAGCTGCAAAATGAAACAAGCCTTTATGATTTATATTGATTGTTTCTGTTTAGGACAGGTATGTACTATGTATTTATTGGATAACAAACTCACTCGCTGAACAGATCATGAAATTTAATTATTGCTATCTAATTTGTGGAGTTGTTTTTCAGTCCTATCAAACTGACTGAGCTGAGCTCCTATGTGATTCTGTATCTTTTCTCAAGATCATTTGTTATTTCACCTTCATGATATGTTGATTTAATCTCTTCTTTCTGATGTTTTTGAATGGTATCATTCTTATTTACTTTTTATGTTTGACTAAAATATATCAAAAATAAAAATAATTATAAAGCAAAACTGTACAAAACTGTTGTGGCACCTTCATCAATTTAGGAAGTTCTCACAATAAATGTACAGTTTATTGAAATGGACAGTAAGGTTAGAAGAGAAGTATGCATAATGTTTGATGGAAAACCTCAGTAAACAATTTTACAACACTTACAAGACAGGGTAACAACATATTTACTTAATGTAGCTAATTTATTGTAAATAAAGAGTATTTATGCATTCAGAAAGTGCTTATTAATTGCTCTGCATCCGTATTGTAACAGGCAGCAGCACAGGAGGCCAGCAGTGTGTCATCAGGTGGCCAGTGGGATCAGGCCCTCACACTCCTGACTGTGGCAGTACAAGCAGTGGGAAATCACAGACTCCAGTATCTTCGCCAGCGAGCTGCCTGCCTCGCTCAGCTGGGCTTACACGAGCGGGCCATAGCTGACCTGGACAGAGTTATCCAGAGACACGGTGCGTCCGACTCCAGCTCAGATGACCCCCAATTCTGGGTGGAGGACCTGTGTCGGCGAGGCCGCAGCCTGGTGCTCTGTTCCAGAGAAGGAGCTGCTCTGGAGGACTTCACTCGGGCCTTGGAGCTCCACAGGAACCAGGCCATCCAGTGTGTGGATGCTGGTCTAGGGAGGCTACGTCTGGCTGAGTGCTTCCTGCGGGGGGCGCTGCAGCATTATGGGGAGCAGCAGCTCAGCAAAGCTTCGACATTGATTGAATGTGGCCTCATTGTGGACAATGAAAACGCAGAGCTCCGCAGACTGAGGGCAAAGGTCAAACGAGAAGTGACCAGCCCCTGCAATGTCAACTAGTGCTGATCCAGCCGAGCTTACATCATGCAGCCATATCAGTGCCTGTACCTTAAGATGTCGTACTGTGGAGGAACAATCTAGCAGATGAGAAATCCTCTATAGGTCATGTTTGGACACGGTGCTTCGGGTTAATATAATGTCTTCCAAATTCAATTCAAGTTTGTAGGATTAACACCAGTGTTTGTTAGAGTATTCAATATCATTATAATTACAACAAAGCAGTATAGATTTTCAACACCACAGATTTATTGTTTTATGAGTTTTATCATGTTTTGTTTTATAAACCAATTAACTTTAGTAGTTCACACATTTTACGACTGAAACATCAGTAATTGCATTATTGTGGACATGATGGTCACGATGGTTATATGATATGTAGGAACTCACGCAACATGAAATTAAATAGCATAGTTTAATTCAAACCATCACACCTAGATAAGAGATTTAAGAAAGTGCCCAATGTGCAGGTTTTGTGCTTTTAAAATTAAGGGAGCACAACTTTATTTAATCATATCCATGACAGCAAACACAATTTAGTAAGCATAAATACAGGAAAACCTAAATAAATACTGGAATTTAGTTCAAACCACTGGCATTAAAGAATGTTTTAACACTTTATAATTTAAAAGGATGTTGAATATAGCATTCAATTTATACATATATTGTATGTGTAATTTGTGTTAAGGTGCTATTTGTACTGTGGTATTAAGCAGAAACAGTAATGTACTGTGGTTCCATGTTACCGAAGTAGCATTTCTCCCACTCGCTCATAAGGTCAAAGTGGAGCGGGCGGTCACAGAAGGTGCAGGAAGCCGTGGCCGGGCTGTTCAACAGGAGCCCTGCTTCCTGCCACACTTCCACCAGTTTATCTGTGAATGAAACAGACATTTATAAGAAAAATTAAATGCCAATATTTATTGCTCTTTTACTTCTCTGTTTTAAAATGTCATCTCCGGTCATTTTAGTGAACACAAGCTAGGGTTATCATGTTAGTTTTGCTACTGCTCAACACCAATTTTATATGATCTTTGCAGAGTATTGTCATTTTTACTGCATTGCAGTATGTGGTGACAGGTGGATGCCAAGGGACTCATATATGCTTACAAAGCAAAGAGACTCACTAAGGACGAGCATAAATCACTTGTGCTGGCCCTTGTCCACACTTAACTTGATTGGACGATTACTAGAACAACTCTGACCTAATTTCAGTAAGGATCCCCACACTCACCCACGAAGTACTCCATCATGGCGGGGTGGTGATGAGGAGAAGGAGCCAGACGCAGCAGCTCCTCGCCACGAGGCACCGTGGGGTAGTTGATGGCCTGGACGTAGATGTTGTGTCTCTCCAGCAGGATGTCACACACCTTGGTGTTCAGCTCAGCGTTGCCCACCTACAAAATTGATTATGAATATGATATACGACATTTAAGAGATGCTTTTTATTCAGCACAATGGGCGTCATACATGTGGGAATCAAAGCCATTACTGTGGTTGATATGGTCTATGGAGTAAAGAATATGCCACTGGAACTATTAAAGAATTATTCTGCATTTATCTATAATTATATGATGAAGTTGATTAACTAAATTAGAGTTCAAATGATGCATTAAAATCATCATGTGTTCATAATTTGATTTAATTTAAAATAAAATAAATTATCACAAAAACATTTAGGTTTGCATAATTTAAATGCAAATTCTCAGAATTGCTTTTAAAGAAACACAAATTGAATTATAATTAAACATAAAAAGTTAAATTATTCCGGTGGCAGACTCCAGACTCCATATGTTCTTTGCTCTATTAGTTATAAAGGAGAATACATTAGGCCTTTTTCACTGCAGACATTTTGACATGTCGTAATAGGAAAAGCTCCGGTGTTACTAATAACATCAATAATGGCTTTGTTGTATTCAAGTGTCCCAGCAAGTCATGACAGTGTGACAGCATGCACAACACCGGGACCCTGAAACTGAAGC